TAGAAACCTGTCTTTCTTACAAAATTGAAGATTTCGACAACAAAGAGATGTAATTTGTGATTTTGAGCTCTTGTGATTAGTCCTTAGGAGTTATCTGTGAATTGCTTAAAATATGCCCTGGATGTTCTTTGGATTCAGAACCTCAAATCTGCAAACCAGTCAAGGAAACAGCTAAAAAAGAAAAAAGTTCCTTTGTGAAACTAAAGAAACCTTGTACCTCCCTTATACTTACCCTTAATTTCCTGTCTAATGTAATGATTAAAATTCTTTTATAGTATTTTGTGCTTTTTAAATGAGTTTTCACAAAGGAAGATAGGAATAATACTTATATTTTATTTTTTATTGTTTTTGTAACTGGGGATTGAACTCATGACTTCATGCTTGCCAGGCAGGCACTGTGCTGCTGAGCTATATCCCCATCCCAAACTAACATTTATTAAGTACTCACCTTTTAATGGACAGAATAATAGATGGTTTCTGTACTTGTCTTTTTAAATTGTGAAATAAGTGAAAATTTTCCCTATTCAGACGTTCAGAAGTAAAGTTGCACTGTGCTGGCATTTAAAGTTGTCTGAATTCTTCAGACTATTCATGCCATGTATCTATCAGTAGGTGCTCAGAAAAGCCAAAATAAAACTAAATAGTATAATTGCATGATTATGTTACTAGAGTTTTGGCTCTAGTAATCCTAACCAGATCAGACTGGGCCATCTGTTTCATAACTCCAAACAAGGAGTCATGTAGTAGTGAGGAATGGGAAGGAGATTAAGTATGTCCATGTTGGGAAGCACAGATTAAAGGGCTCAAGATCTGTCTTCAAGGAACTGACAGAAGCTTTGGGGTTTTATAGCAAAAGAAAATGAAGGATCTAGTGGTGTTTATAGCTGGGAAGCTTACAGCAGTACTTTAGACTGGTAAAGCAATGGTCTCGTTGATGGGTGTCTCAGGGCTGGTTCTATGAAATCTTGGTGGAACCATCATCACTTGAGGGGGCAGTTTGGTTACCATCATGAGACAATGCTTCCTACTTATGGAGTGCAACCTCAGTTCCACTTGGAAGGTGACCTCATCATGGCATGGTCTGCAAAACAGAGATACGAGGTGGCTGCAGGTGTAAGACAATGTCTTAGTCACTTTTCTTGTTGCTGAGACACACTGCCTGATATCTTAATGGAGGAAAGGTTTATTTTGGATTATATTTCAGTCCACAGTCAGCAGCTCCAAAGAAGAAATAACACGGCAGAGAGGCATGGTGAAAATGCCTGCCAGAGGAAAGCCGCTCACTTTATGGCATTCAGAAAGCAGACAGTGAGGAGAGGAATTTGGAAGGAAGTTATCCCACCTCTTCCAACCAGGCCCCATCTCCTAACAGCAAGTCAGCTTTAATTCCCTTATAATCACCTTGAAAAGCCCACCTATGAGCACATGCAGCTTTGGAGGGGCATCTAGATATAAATCATAGCAATGACCAGAGACTTCTAGGCAGGAGTTGACAGTTGATACCCCTGCAAATCCTGAAAAGTTATTCTTTGTGTCCTCAGTTTTGAAGAGGGGTGAGATATGGTAAAATTTAGAGCTAATAAGCCTTGTATTTTAGTTCTCAGGCACTCTTTAAATGATTGACGTACCTACATAGTGCTGAAGCGGGGAATCTGACTCAAAAGTTTTAAGGTAATAAAACAGATGAAGGCAGAGGTGCCAAATTTTCTACTTTTAGTCACCCATTGGGCATCTGTAGGTTCCAAAGTCCCTGATACAGTTATTCCCTTGAAACTTATAGTTTGTTTAATAACCTTTAATTACAATTTTTTAGCCAGCTTACAGTTTTTCAAAATAAATTCACTTTTATTGGATATTTAGTAAGTTACCGTGAGATTTAGTGGTTTTAAACAATTTATTTTGCTTTCAAATTCAGTGGGTCAGCAATGCAGACAGAGCACAGCAGGGATGGCTTGTTAATTTGTGCTGTATCAGACCTTAGCTGAAAGTCTGGCCTAAAATCAAAAGGCTGTTTGATTCACATGTGATGCTGATTGTCACCTGGGTGTCTCAGTTGCTCCCTATATGGGCCTGCCTATGTTGTCACTGTAGTTGAGGCTGCTGTATAGCATGGTGGCAAAGTTCCACCATTGATAGTGGAGACAAGGGAGGCTAGGTAAGTGCTGTTTCTTTTTTTTAATCTGAACTATCATCTGAATCATATAGTGTCACTTCTGCTGCACTGAGTTGTCAGAATAATCACAGTGCCTGCCCGCCCAGATTCAACAAGAACAATAGAGCCTCAGTGTCAACAGTCCACATCTCAGTTTAAGACTGCCAGCCACATTTTGAGACATAGGGGATGATGTGTACATATTAATGCAGCGGTATTTAGAAAATATAGTCTGCCACACTGATTTCAAATTAACCTGTGAAATAGATCTTACAGATCCATTTTACTAATAGAAATTACACAAAGTACAATATTAGTGTAGTACAAAGTGTCTTACATAGTTAAACTAGAACAGTGATGGCAAACCTTTTAGAACTTCCAATGATACAAACAGCCCACTGCAGCACACATGCCATACGTTCCCTACCAATGTACTATAGGGATCAACCATGCTAACTAACCAACTGACATGTAAGCCATAACAGCCAGCCACAAGAACTGCTAAGTCCCTTCTGTTTTGCTAGGATATTTGATCTAAGATTAGATGCATTCTGCATTATTACAGAAACAGGACAAAAAGAGATACGAAGTACTACATTAAAATACTAACAATGGGATGATCAGCGCTTGAGTGAAATGCTAACAATATTTTCATTGGGAAAAGTCACTGGTTTTGACTTTACCTAGTCAGTTTACAAGAGGATTGACAAATTACAACTAGTGAGCCAAATCCAGGCAATTTTTATTCTTGTAAGTAGTTCCACTGGAATACAAAGGCACCATTTCACTTCTAGATTGTGTTTAACTGCTTGGTGCTGTGGTAGCTGAGTTGAATATTTGCAGCAGAAACTATATTGCCACTAAAGCTTAGCATAATTGCTCTGCGGCATTTGCTTAAAGTTTACAGACTTTTGGTCTGTAAGATCAGCTATGGTACTGTAGTTGGAATCTGTCTGAAATGTTTTCTTATTTGAAGCTGTGATGTTTCCCCTTTTATTCTTATAAAGGATAAGGGATGGGGTATGGGTAAGTGAAACTCAAGACGGAGTGTAGCAGGGAAAGAGGAGGAAAAAACAAAGATAGAGAGACTGTGGCTGTGGCTTTAAGTAATTCATTTTTTAACATGCATGTAAGAACTGGGTTAAGGGCTAGAAATACAAAGACAGCTTACTGCTTGCCCTCAGAAGAGCTCAGTATTGTTGAGGAGTCAGGCAATCTTACATTTATATCTAGTGTCATGTTGGTACTGTTTTATAGCTGTGCACAAATTTCTTCCTCAGAGAAGAAAAGTACTATGGTTAAAGATTGAGGCTTCCTAGGCGATTGATACAAATTTGGTTATTAGAACTAAGTAGAAATTTAGGGGGTGAAAAAAGTGATAAAAGAATATAAACTTAGGTAAAAACATTAACAAAATTATATGGAGTAGTTGTATGCTTAAAGGTACTGTAGGAATTGTTATAGCTTAGAAAATAAGATGCAATTGGGAAAGTAGTAAGCAGCAGAGCTGGCAATGATCATTTATGCATTTAAGTTTGGAAAAGGATTTAAGAGTTCTCTAAGACAAAATTGTGAACATGTGTTAGCTAGTATGGTGTGAGAATGGTGAAGCATGTAGGATCACTAAACTGGGAAACTGGATGGTCAGGGAAGTGATGCCATTTGACTAAGATAATGAATACATGAAGAGGGCTACACTTAAGGAAAAATGATAAATTTCACTGTTAGAGATTTTTGAAGTTACAGTGCATATGCAACATAAAAATGAGACATCTTGTGGGCTCTTGGCTTCAGAAGCTTGATATTCGAGAGAATTTTCAAGAAGTGGTATTTGAAACCATGGTGAGGAAGTCATTGTCCATAGAAAGTAGGTTAAAATACAGCCGGAAACAGAACTGTTGGAAACAACAGCATTTAAGAGATGCACAGAAGAAAGCAAAAGGAGGAGGACTAGCCTCTAAAGGAAGAACTGAAGTGTAACTGGTTTGAGTGGTTTTGCATTTGATGATTTGCTAACTTTAGCATAGTTAGTAGAGTGGTAAATGAGAAACTCGGTTATAACAACAATGCAGAAATGAAGAGCAGTTAGAACTGTAGAGCTTGAGTAAACTATAAGATTGAGTTATCAATGAAATGAAGCCCCTTAGAATGTGAGAATAGATAGAATCCAAAATACAAAGTAGAAGAATTGGCCTCAGACAAAGAGGGATATACCACATGGATTGATAAATGAAAGAAGAATGGTTGAGGAAAAAGCTAATATTTTTGAAAACCTGCTTTTTTGTCATTCTGATTGATTACTTTATATAACTTCATTTAATCTTTATAGCAGCCTGTTTTATGTAGCAAGCATTGTTTCCTGCTTTATCAGTAAGGAAATTAAAATAGCTTGCCCAGTATCACTTGTCTTGTAAATGGTAGAAGCTAGTACCTCAGCCAAAAGTTTGATTTCTTATGTCCTCCTGCCTTCCCTCACTCCACCTTTTCCTCTTTCCCTGAAAAATATGTCTGCAGCTAAGTGTTATTCCATAATCAGTATAAACAGGTACTGAGTCCTTAAAATGAAATGCAGATTATTTTTTCTTACAAGGAAATTATTTTTTGAAACTTATATGTTAATAAAAGATTCATATACATATCATAAAATTCTTTTTAAACTAAAAGATGTCATTTTTAAGAAAAGAACTGGGAGAGAGAAAAGAACTAAAGTTCAAAAATACTTAAGAATTTTGTCTCCCAATGAAATGTTTCAGTAACTCATCTCTAGTGTATTAGACTCTCATCTCTTGTTTGGATGTTTTGACATAAATATAAAACTATGGGGTTTTTTTCTCTTTTTTATTTTTAGGTGTCTGCTTTCAAGGCAGAGTTTTCATCAGAGGCATGCAGAGAGTTAGGCTTCTCTAGCAACTTGCTCTGCAGCTCTTGTGATCTCCTTGGACAGTTCAACCTACTTCAGCTGGATCCTGATTGCAGGGGATGCTGTCAGGAAGAAGCACAATTTGAAACGAAAAAGGTACTGTTCCTGATACATATGTTGTACTCAATTATTTAGATAAGACAAAGCATAAGTTGCTTAATCAAATCAACTCAAGTGAAACGAAAACTCAGGCTTTTACATGTCTTACTACAATTAACTGATTTCTTGGCCTGGCCAAAACAGTGGTTACCTTGCAGGATCCCAGTTTAATAAGGAAAAAGAAGGCACCAAAGGGAAGCAAAGAATAATTTGTTACATGCTTTTGTTCACATGTAATAAGCTAGTTTTATGATGAAATTTGGTATGAGAAAAAGACACACAGAATTATAGACAATAAATTATAACAGAATTTGGGCAACAGCTGTTAATTTATATATCATGTTAATTTACTCACGGTTAATTTACATATTAGTCATGTTATAACTAATTCTGGGTATCTAATTTCATCTCTCTAAAATCTGAAAACTGATACAAAGATAGTGATATGTTTTGAACATGATAAAACTAATAATAAATTTGATCAGTTTTAAAGTCCTTTCTTTAAAACCCTCAATTTCTGGAAGTTTTAAAGTAGTCTGAAAAGATAATTAAAATGGGCGAGGGGAAAGATGACAGATTTATAAGCAGCAAAATACTGAGGCTTCCTGAGACAGACAACTCAGATGCCGGAATAAAACATTGTGGGGACGTCTGGACAGAGGCAGATGGATCCTCTTGACCCAGGAAGAAACTAAAGGGAAAGAACTGGTCAAACATGCAGTCCCAGGGATACATTGGAGCAGCTAAGGTTAGCGGCCATAGTGCCCTTGCCACTTTGACTGAACTGACTGAACTCCCACTGGAACCAGAGATCAGCAAGCCCAATGGAGAACAGAACCAGCAAGGGACCTGCATTACCCATGGTGAGCACTAGGAATAAGGCCCTCCCCCAGGAAAGGGGCAACCAACTGGGTGACATTCTGGAATCGGGCAGGAACAAGGAACAGCAGTGACTTCAGTCTGTTGTTCCCTTCCCAGACCAGAATGGTGGGATATGCTTGGCCTGTGTCACACCTCTGGCCAGGACCCAATAAGTCACTCCAAACCAATTCCTTATGCACAGCGCACACTAACACAGTGAAGGCCCTCACAGGTTGACTGACCCGGAGGGGAGGGGCCAGCATACACTGCCCCTGTTTGCACTTCAGTGACCAATCGCAAACTGGAGAGTGCAGAAATCCCTAGCCAGCACTCTTCAGAAGAACTATAACCAACAAGGAAAGGAACTGGGACCTCCTTTATACACCTGTTTGGAAGAAACCAAAAAAGTGACAAGAGAAAGAAACAATAAAAAGTTCCTAGCCCTCAGCCCTGAGAACATTGATCCAGGAGAGGTAAATACAAAAGAGACTGAGGGCAGCAAACATGCAGTATCAGACACGGCATCACTGGGCATAAAGACATATCTTTGGGACCTCATAGACGAGCTCAAAAGTGAAATATTTAATCAAGTAAAGCACGATATAAATAGATTAATAAAAAATACTAAGCACCTCTCAAGACACAGATGGAAGAATGGAGGAACACAAAAAAAGGAGAGAAACCTTCAATGAAGAATATAAAGAAAACCTAGAATACATGAAGCAGGTTCAAAGAGATTACCAGGAAATAACAGCTGTTAAGTTGAATTACTAGGAAATTAACAGCTGTTTAGTTTCTTCCTGGCCTTTGAAAGCTGGCAAAAGTGCTTGAAAGAAACTAAGGATAAACTATCAAAACTTGAAGACAGTTTGCAATGTGTGATCATGAAAGGAAAAATCTCTTAAAAATAACAGGGAAACAGGCAATGACAATACAAAGGCTACAAGACAAGAGGATCTATAACTTAAAGAGTAAAGAATGTGAATGAAAAAGCAGGAGTAAAAACAAAGGAAATACAAAGGCTATTCACAGAAATAATTAAGGAAAACTTCCCAAGCATAAGAAAAGGAAATGATGCTTGAGGAATACAGAACTTGAGCCACCTACAACCAAAAACAGAGTTACACCTAGACATATAATAAGATCCCAGAAATTCAAAATAAGAACAATATTAAAAGCTGTCAGAGAAAAGAAACAGATCACCTATAAAGGATAACCCATCAAAATCACAGCAGACTTCTTGACACAGACCATCAAATCAAGAAGAGCTTGGAGTGGAGTATCCCAAGCCCTGAAAGGAAATAACCTCCATCCCAGATTGATGTACCCTGAAAAATCATCTCTAGAAATTAATGGAAAAACAAGGGGTTTCTAAGAGAAAGAGGAACTGGGGAATTTGCAACTACCAATCCAGCCCTACAGAGAACTGAAGGACATTCTAGAGAGAGGAAAAAAGTACCAGGATTCCAAGAACAGTGGCAGAGAGGCTTCAGTGAATGGAGCAGAAAGTGGAATGAAGGAGAAAAGTAGAGAACTAATGGCAGAAAAATAGCACAACAGAAATGAGGAAGAGAAGATTGGCTATAGTCTCTTATATAGATGGCCTTGATAGCACTAAAAAAGAAAAGAAAAAAACACAGGCAGAGTAAATCAGGAGGCAGGGTCCACTGAGATGCTCTATATAGGAAATATAATTAACCTGAAAAAACGGTTTACAGACCGAAAATCAAATATGAAAAAACAATGCTCTATGTGACAGAGAAACAGAGAGTAATGGGGCAGCTTGACCAGCACCTGCATAGGTTGGAAAGACATGTTTTATAGGTAAAGGAATACAACTTGAGATCAAGTCCAGGAGGGAGAAGGTTCAGAACCATTTAGATAAATAGCAGGTTACCCCCTCAATCTAAAAACTGAGGGAATTGATGGGACCCAAAATGCACAGTGCACTCTGTGGGAGTGAAAGGGGAGGGAGGAATAGTCTAAAAAAAGAAGGCAGAGGATATTGTTAATAGTGTATCAGGACTTAAAACCCACAATACTCACACCACTCTGTTTAGATAGATTATATTCTGTCCCAGTTTGTCTACTTGCACTAGATCTGAAGGCACAGACAGCTATCCCAAAAATAGGAGGATATAGTACGGTAATCATCCTTAATTCCCTATTAGCTTAATCTGAAGCCTTGTATAATTTTTACTGTTTTCCCATGACTGATCTTAGTTAAATCTGGTTTGTTAGATTGCTGTTTGGTTATCGAGGAATTTTATTTAAAACTGTTATGACTGAAAGTATCAAGTCTGAGAGTATAGGCAGCTACACTGAAGATGACAAGACTCACAACGATACCCATTCTAGTTTGATTATTACTTGTTTTTGAAGTTTTACACTATCTACAATGTTTTGTTTTTATTAATATTGGTACGTACTGCTATATTCAATTATATTATGCCTGATGATATGGATAATTCTATTGAAGATAACAAGAAACAACACAATAGCCATTGTAGAACACCTTGTACTGTGGTTTTATATGACTTTTTGGTTTCATGTGTTTATAGGAATACGTTTTGTTTTGTCTTGCTTTGTTTTGTTTCTCCCTGTAATATAGAAAGGATAGAAATGTAAGAAGAGATAATGCATGCGTAGAGCCTATAAACAGTTTATGAGAACTGATCTTATAACACATTATGAAATGAACAACTACTTTGAAGAAAAAGAGACACTACAGTACCCAGTGTTGATCCCATAGTGTCATGATGAGAAATGCAGCAATACTATTATTCTTTGCTCAGAGTGATTTTAGCCTGCTTTGGTTTGTTTAAGCTTAACATACATGAAGATATGGATAGCTGCATGTGTTTTTAAGTGTATAGGATTATTAGCCATATTACTAAGTTTTTGTTGGATAGTTGAACAGAACTGTTTGCTGTCTCACTATTTGAATGTCCACTTTGTATGCTTCACTTCTATAACTTGAACAACTATTTGTAAGAGGGCTATGTAAACATCAACTAGTGATTTCTTAGTGTTTATTTTTTCTTTGAAATTATGTATTATTTCTATCCTTTTTCTGTTTTGTTTATTCTTTCTTTAAATAAAATTTAAGAAGAGAAGAAAAAAAGGTAATTAAAAGTGAATGAGAGTTGAAGGTGTAGTTCACTGGTCGATCAGTGCTCTAGCACATACATGCATGGGCCTACACTCAATCCCTAGCACCACCAGCAAAACAAAACAAAACAAAACCCTGAGTTAGTGAGATCTCTGTGTTTGGAATGAGAAACAATTATAGTATCTTTCTATATCACTTGATATCCTCTTGCACATGCTGAATTAAGGTGTTAATGGTGTATAAAACTTTCAAGCAATAATGATATTTTCTTATGGTTAGGTAGTTAAAGTTTATTTCTAACACCAAGTACATTTTTATAGTTCTTTAAAACAAGCAGATGTACTTTGAAAATGTTAACATTTAGTATTCAGCCCATTTGATTTCTAAATATGAACTTGAAATTCCCAATATGCCAAAGACTGTGGCAGTCTTAACACAGATTTCATTTTATTGGGTCATATATTCCAATGATATATTTTATGTTTAGATTTTCTTACATGTAAGTCTTTATTGTATGTAAATATCTTAAATTTTAAAAACTGGTCTTTAAATAGATTTAAGGCATTAGATTTAACTAATTTAATATGTACCTCCTCCCTTTGATGTGACGTTTGCTGAAGGAATCTGAGTGAGTCATTCTTTCCTTGTCGTTCTATGGACTATACCACTACTCAGCCAATAGTGATTATTTGCTGACACCCCAAACTTAGATTGAATAATAAGGTTTGTTCCACGGTAAATAGTGTTCATACTATGTTCACACACATACACAAACACATGCCCTTGTAATTAAGACTAAATTGAGAATTCTGCCCTTTGACTTACATAAAATATGCCTAAACTATAACTCTGAAATACATATAAGAGCTATTTACTTACTTAAATACTTATTTTTTTTCAGTACTTTATAATACCCTAATTTTGTGGTATAATTTTAGTAAAATCAAGTTTGGATCACTTATGTCTAAAATTAATTATATTCCTGTTCAGTTCTTATTCTTTTTTTTTAAATTCTTATTTAAAG